TGAGATCAAGCAAATGTGATGAAGAGGCGACAGTTCATGGGCAAGAAGAAGACGAGATCGACGATGTAGCTTCGAGATCGATGATGACGGCTGAACAGAGTAGACCGGCGGTGAAGAAGAGTGAAGAGAGGATAGATAATATCGTGAAATAGGAGGAGATTTGCAGTACCCCAGCTGACAACGAACTAAGCAGTTGACGGTGAAGGCTGAAGTGACGAAATTCGACGAAGGGGAGACTCCAGTGGAAGATTTTAGGTTCAGACCAAAAGTCAAGAAAATGGCTTTTTTTTTTTTTTATGGGTTTTTTTCTTTTTATGTCAGTATCATTTCTTTTATATGATTTATTTAACAATATTATTCCTGATTTTGCCGCGTTGCTAAAGACGTTTTTCAAAAATAATATTTAAACCACAGATTGGGCATAGTTTTAATTAACTTCCCCAACCTGTTTTAAAGTTACATTTTAAAAGAAAAAAATTAGCATAATCAATTAATTTGAAAACAGTATTATGATATCTAATTAAATAAAGAATAATGTTATACATACAAATTATCAATGTTTTAAAAACCGACCCGAGACAAAACCCGACAAGCTAGCTGTTCAACCGGTGACATCATCATGCTGATGTAAGCATGATGATGTCATCACATTACTGTTCACAGAATGCAAAATTTTAGAATTTGGATCCAAATCATAAACTCCTGTATAAAAAGTCTTTAGCAAAGCATCATCAAACATCATTATATGAATAATACAACAAATTATAAATTAAAATAACAAAACGAAGGAAGAAATCACATAATAGTTGTTCAACACTTCAACATTCTAACAAAAAATGATCTTCACCCAATGATCTTCAATCCATCTTTCCATCCTCAATTAAAATTCACAGTTCACCCACCATCTGACAGATGATTGTCATCATTATTAACATCGGCAATATCATCTACAAAAAATTCTAGCAAAAAAGGAAAATCATAAATTAAATCTTCTCATTTAAACTAATTGAATATAAACTAGCTGCTACCAAATTGAAATTGCTTAAAAAATTGGAAACAACCTTCTAAGGCATCTGTTGAGTCATGATAAGAAGGGTGATTACCACCATCTATAGGAATAGCTTCTTCTACATATAATGATTGTTCCAATTCATCATAATTAAGCTCACCAACCTCCTCTTCCTCATCAACTATCCACAATTTAGTTTTATCAATACTCTCATAATCAACATAATCATAAGTAATTTTCTTGTAACAACTCCTAAAATAGGAGAATTAAATGTTCAAATCATGACCAATAAAGACATCAATGAAAATAACAAAATGAAGAAGGTTTTATACTTATTTTGCAAACGCAAGTTATAATGAGTGAAAACCAAATCATTCAACCGTAGATGCTCAAACCTGTTCCTCTTTTTAGTATGTATGCGTTAAAAAATATTCCAATTTCGCTCACATCTGGAAGAGGCCAAAGTTTGACTTAGAATTTTGATTGCAAACTTTTGCAAATTTGGAGCACTAAACCCAAATGTCCTTCACCATTTATCTAATTCAGAATAAAAATATAAATTACATAAGAAATGAACACAATTTTATAACTTAAAAATTAGACTTTAAAAAGTTAATAATTATTACATACCCGGCTGTGTAGTTTTGCAAGTTTGAAGAGCAAGCTCACATAAAAGTTTTCTAGATGGTCTCGATATAATCTACTCTCTTCTAGTAATGTTGTCTTGCTCATTTTGAATGCACTTGCTTTACTGTCAATAGTGTCAAGGAAACCATACATGACATCAGGTATTTTGGAAAAAAGTATCTTTGTCATATTTAAAAGCAGGATTCAAATAATATGCTGCTACATGAATATTACGGTGCAACATCCTATCCTAGCGCATCTTAATAATTGTTGTATAAGGCTTGTACAAATTTTTCTTATTCTTAAACAGCTTCTTGATCCCCATCTCCTCGTTCTGTACATGCCATCATGCACATATGCTATTAAAGGCCTCTCATCAGAGACTACAATCTGGAGCATACACATCAATGGACTCACAACTTTGGAAATTATACCAATGTCATCCCAGAATTGGTTATCTAGAACTATGGAAATAAAGGCTTCGCCTTTATCAGTTTTTGCGTATCGAGACTCCACAAAATTTCTATCTGTCACCATAGATTGCAAGTCATGTTTGTGCTGATGTAGGCTGTTCAATGCAATGAAAGTTGTGGCAAAACTAGTTGCACCTAGGCGCATAATTTCTGTCCAACCTTATTCAAGTGATAGACAATAGATGTTAGTACTTAGTAAATTATTAAAAAATGTATATATATAATATGACTTAACAATGTAAATTATAAACATATGAGGTAAAGGTATATAACCTGTTTTTTTCCTCAGCAAAGCTAGCACAAATGAATGATTATACACAAACTTTGTAACCTCAGATGCACGTCTCAAAAGGCTAATTATGTGACTCATCTCAGCTATGTCTTTCAGCATCAAATTAATGCAATGTGCTACACAAGGAGACCAAGTAATACTGCTATATTTTTCAAACAACATTCTTCCAGCAGTTTTATAATTTGCTCCATTGTCAGTGACAAGATGGACAATATTGTTAGGTCCAACCTATAAAACTATTTACTCAAACAAGCTGAACAATGTTGTAGCATCCTTTACAACATCTAAAGCATCCACTGTTTTCACAAAACACACACATTTAGGACAGTATACTAGAAAATTAATCAACAACCTATATGAATTATCTGTCCAACCATCAACCATTAAAGTACATCTAACATCCTCCCAAGTTTTCTTGTAACCATCAACAAATAATTGCACTTCTTTCCTAGCATCTCTCAATAAATTTACACGTAAATTATGAGATTTTATACCCATGACCAATTGCAATTATAGCATCCACCATAGGTTGAAAATAAATTGAATTAATAACATTAATTGGGATGTAAGAATCAGAAAATAACCTTGCAACAGTCATGTATGCTCTCCACTTAGCTTCTTTTTCGGCTAAAACACTATTAATTGAAGGCTGAGACCCAGGCTTAGTCCTCGGAGCAAAATAATCACCTATCCGAATAGATCTTTTTCTCTTAGTGCTTGAAGTTGAAGTTGGAGTTGGACATGGAGAAACCTCTTCACACTCTTGATCTTCATCTAACACATCACCGTCAAATTGTTGTACACTGGCTCTATAAAGATTGACATTCTTACGAAGTTCAACTTTTTATTTATTCTTGGCCCCAATTTCATTTAGTGCTTCTTTAATCTTAATTTAACATCGAAATGAATTTTAGAGCACTTTCCAACTTCTCCCTTTATACCCTTTAGATGCAGTTTCACTCGATAAATTCCTCCACCTCTGATTATCTTGCCACAGTAAAGACATGTTAATATCTTCTTCCCATTTTCATTCACGCCCTCATTAACATGTTCCCATGCTATATCGTTCCTTCCTCGAAAAGATTGTGAAACATCCATGGAAGCAAATTTTTGACAAGACCTAGATGATGACATATTCTTTGTCTTTAATCTTGATCTCTACCCTGGCGACACAAATAACAAATAAGTTAGTATCGATCATAATCGAAAATATCTTCATAAATTAAATTAAAGATTCAATATGTTTGATTAATTCTTGCATGACATATGTGTGTATTGTGTAAACATAAGAAATTCAAATACTTCAAGATGTCCACATAAAGCCACAACATCATTGTGGCAATTGACCGCAATCAACCAACTATGTCTAATGGAATATGTCGCAGTGAAATAGATATATATACATTATTACTACATAATCATGCATTGTAAAAAAATATTTTCAAAATGTTCATGATTCCAATTTGGATATTCAGTTTTGTGTTAAAAGAGTAAAGCTATAGTGTTTGTTAATAATTAACCCTTACTATTTTTCATGTGTGTGCTAAACTGAAGAGCAAACATTTTTTTGTTTGTTGGTTTGTCTTACAGTACCTCCTTGTTCAATCTTCAGTATAATATACTAATATCTTCATTCTTCGATACTCAAATCAAGTGTTCATTCATCATTGACCAAAACAAAATTAAACGTTTGTTGCTAGAATGTACGTCAATAAGGCGACAGTTACCTGGTGCTGGTGAAGATGAGCTGCCGTTGACAATTGACTGTCGGAGAGGTGGAGCTCGATTGTGAACAATGTGAACTGTCAACTGTGAAAGTGTGAAGAGCTGAGATCAAGCAAATGTGATGAAGAGGCGACAGTTCCTGGGCAAGAAGAAGACGAGATCGATGATGTAGCTTCGAGATCGATGATGACGGCTGAACAGAGTAGATCGGCGGTGAAGAAGAGTGAAGAGAAGATAGAGAATATCGCGAAATGGGAGGAGATTCGCGGTACCCCAACTGACAACGAACTAAGCAGTTGACGATGATGGCTGAAGCGACGAAATTTGATGGTGAAGGGGAGACTCCAATGGAAGATTTTAGGTTCAGACCAAAAGTGAAGGAAATGGCGTGAAAATTGGGGGGGGGAAGGGGAAGGGGGGAAATAATTGATATTTGCTTTGGGACTAAGGGTTTAACTGTTTAATTTATAGAATATGGGTTTAATTTTTTAAAGCTGAACTGTTTTTTTTTTTAAATAACGGTTAGACTGGCGGGTGCTACAATGCACCAGTCCAACCGTGGGTGTAACTTAGCAGACTCATAATAATGGTTTTAAGCCTCACTTGGCCCGGCTCACTGGTCGAGTCTCGATTCAATCGGCTGGGCGGGCTGAATTTTAAAACATTGCAAATTATTTCCTATAAATTGATATTACAATCTTATATATTTATTATATTTATTTACCGTATTGATTTTGTAATCTTTTTTAATTATTTAATTTATTTTTAAATTTAAATTATCAAATCATTTTAACTGTACAGGAAGTACTATGTCACTACTATCCTGCCTTAGGAATTGTCGTTTCAAAACGAATTTTTCTAGAACCACCGACTCAATGAGTCAATATTTACCATCATTGCCACGTTGTCACACTTCAATTCAACCTCGCAGCGGACTCTGAGCAAACGTATGCTCTGGAAGTGTGAGAAAGATAAAAATTTTATTACTATTTTGTCCCTCGCATGGCGGCTTTGCGGAGACTAGCGAAGACAGTTCCGGCATGGCGTATCCCGCTCCCTTCCCGCGTTCCGTCACGTGACTTGCCTCGCCGTCTTCCTCACCGTAAGCTCATCACGATCATCGCTTTGCTTTACACTCTTTATTTATTTTTTGATCAAGTAAGATATAAGTAGTAAATTATTAGTCATTATAGGTTGTAGAAGTGAAAAAATGGATGTTTCGATCATTAAATTATGTATTGGAAGGAGCAATTTATTAAATTTTAAAGAATTATAATGTGAAATCAAGCTACTAATAAGAGGTATTTAGAGAAAAAAGTCATTTTGAAACGGCGAAAGCAAGGGAGTTCTAATTGTATTTATTGGAGGTGGATGAATACATTCTACTTCATTAAATCTATGCGATTGGTGCAAAGTAAATTTATAGTTATGCTGTTGAGTGTGCAGGATCTTTTGAGCGACAAATTCATTTCAATGCTTCGGAAATTGGAAGGGCAAGATTATTTCCCGAAGTTTCAGGACCTCATTCCATGTTCCCTGCTATCTTAGCTAGTTTATTTGGTGCTGGAGTGACCAATATCGCATATGCAGACGCTGAGGAGGTTTGTGTAATTTGTCAGACAAGCACCTTAAGCTCTAGGAAATGGAAATTTTGAATACATATTACGTTGAATTCACAGTCTTTTTGGCTTATTTACTTGTGAATTTTGGTTTCTGGTGCAGGCAGGTTCTGCTAAACCTCCATTGCCATCAGAATCTTCTCCATTGCCATCAGAATTTTCTTCAAGTTATGGGGACTTGGAGGAAATTGCGAAGAAAGAACGACAGCGAATTGAAGAGTCAATCAAAAAGAAGGGAGCGCAGTATAGGTTTTGTCCCAAGTTTACTGTTGCTGTTAAGGGCCAAAAGGTCATTGATCTTATTTTTTACTATCTCCAACATTTTTTCTTTAGTTTGCTTCTCATTAGAAGCTCTGTTTATTTGAAGCTTTGCGTAGTATTTATTTTCAGCATATATCTTAATACGGGCCAAGCTACCTTTCTATTTATTTGTATTGATGAGTTTGTAATTGATTCATCCATCTAAAACCACAAATTTTCATGTCTCAAAACATATAACAAAGGCCATTGCATCTATCGCCATATTTTTCTCCAATAATAGTTTGTATTTCATTTTCCATCATTAATCAAGTGGACTTTACTATTGCTAAATTAACTCTAATAGCATTGTATTTTGACTCACAGATCACCATTAGGTTCCAAGTACCTCCTGGATGTGAAGTTCCACAATTGATAGCAAACCTTGTCTCAAATCTTGGACTGAAGGTTGAAGAGCATGGTGGTGGTTCAGATATGTCATTGCGTGCTTGGGACAGGTTAACTGAAACCATTGGTTTTTTTGTTCATTATTTTTGTTTTGGGGATTGTGGACCATGAATATGCTAATTTGTTTTCTGCTCGAAGTAGGGTTAATTTTAGTCTTATGATTAATAAGGTGCACTGAATTTCTTGTTTCCTATTGGTATTTCAGTGCAGTTGCTTGGCAATTAACACTTAGGCATCCAGAAAAGCAGAATAAACGTGGAGGGGATCAATCCTATTCTAGTGATATGAATACACATGAAGATGATCTATGCATCCTCATATTTCGTTCACTTATTACCTCAGATAAAGCAGTTAATACTCATATGCTATTATCCTATGAATTCATTTATATAGATTCTTATATATTATAAACAAGAGCTTTGTAGAATATGAGTTTTTTCATATTGCTTTACATGAACTGTTGCAGGAAATTGAGTTCATAAAAAAAGGGAGCTTGAGTTCTGCAGAGCTTGATGCTTTTGTGTCTGTTTTGCAATTAGCTAGTGGAAGGTTGGGCCAAAATAGAAACTTGGATAGAAAACCTAGAGATGGAATTACACAAGAGACACCTGTAGAAAATACAATATCTGCTCTTCAGGCTATGGGAGTGAGAATTTATGGAATTGACAAACCCCAGTTGAATTCCTCAAATGCTGAGATATCATGGGACTATATTGCTGGGTATGATCAGCAAAAGAGGTATGTTAAAAGTGCTGTTGCGCACTATATGTGTTTTTGTTGCGTTCTCAAGTCAAATGTTGTTAATTCCATTTACTAACTTGATATTATGAAGCACAATTTAGACATATTGGAATCTGGGGCCATAGTGGAAGGGCAGGAAAGCAGACAAGATAGTTGTTAAGTTTTAGTATTTCTTGATAAAGATTTTAATGATAACGCATTATGCATGGGACACTCGTTGCTGCTTATCAATAAGTGTACACGAAGGTGCTATATGTATCTCAAACTTTGAGATTATAATATACTTCTTAACTATTCATTGTGCAGAGAAATAGAAGATACTGTATTGTTGTCTCTTCAGAGTCCTGAAGTATTTGATGATATTGCTCGTGGGACTCGGCGCAAATTTGAGTCAAATAGACCTCGAGCTGTGCTCTTTGAAGGCCCGCCAGGTTTGTCTTCAACCCTGAATAAGTTCCTCTATTACATCGCTGAAAGTGTATTTTTTTAATGATTTTTTTTGCTGATAGACAGCATATCATCTATCATCTTTCGTGTCTGCCATGTTTAGGAGCACATGTTATAGGTCTTGCACTCTAATTAATCAATGAGCTCTTCAGTTTTACCCTGTTGGTTGATGTATTTTTGTGCCTAGGACATAGTTCATTCATTGTTATAATGTTCTGTGCCCCTTCTGCCCAAATTACTATATTAGAATCATAAGAAGAATATAGTAGTTGTATTAAGCTAAACACACAAATGGTTATGATGTCTTGTGCTTGAGCAAGGAGTGCTATATGGATGTGGTCAAACACATGACACATTATTATCGATTGCAGAAAGAAGCAAGCATATTTTTTAAGCTATATTTAGCCTTTTTCGTGTGTATCTTTCCAACTACAAAATTTGAAAGCATATTAATACTTGTAGATGCAAACATCTAGTTATTCGGTTTTGGTTTGGGTTTTAGTTGATAGTGAAAACTTGTTTGTTATGTTTGTCCAATTTTAGGTACCGGGAAGACATCTTGTGCTCGTGTTATTGCAAATCAAGCGGTGAGAAACTTGAAAATTTAGTAACAATTTCAGCTGAAACTTTTCTGTGTTCTTTATCTTTACATTGTAACTTAATTTTTAGTGATTTGTGTTAAAAAACCAATTTCTTTCCAACTTTCATGATTAATTTATGATATGTGTTATTTCAATTAGTTTAAAGGTATATTCCATTATACCTTTTGAGTCTTACTGATTAGAAAGAAACATATAAGAGAAACTTTTAGGTAATTCTTTTTAGATCTTAATTGCATGATGTGTGGGCATAGCTTAAATGTTGTAATTTGTCAGTTGGAGGGGCATTTTATTTGAAGAAGTGAATGGTTGTTATTGGTCCCACTATTAAAAGTTCCTCAGATATGCAAAGGACTTGATACGTAGGGTTCCTTTTGTTTATGCTCATGAATAGGACTAACAATGAATGTTGTTGTAAGGTTTCTCGACTTGCTGGTAAGTTTAAGTAGGGAAAATTTGTATGCACCAAAAGTTTTGCATATGCATAAAATGGCATACTGCATATCATGTGAATTTTCTTTATGCTAAACAAAATGAATCAAATCAACATTACTTTCTGCTTTTTTCCCTTTTTTAGTAGCCTAAAATTGAGCATGTGGCATGCCTTGCAGGGTGCTCCATTGGTGTATCTGCCACTGGAGGTTATTATGTCAAAATATTATGGTGAAAGTGAAAGCTTGTTGGGAAAAGTTTTCACACTTGCCGAAAAGCTGCCAAATGGTGCTATTATTTTTCTGGATGAGGTACTCATGCAGATAATGACTTTCTGCATAAGTAATGCATGTTTGTGTATAATTTATGATTCACTATTCTTATAATCAGTGACGCCTTATCCTTTGTTGAAGTTGAAATTTTTCTGATGACCTACTCTGTTTTTCTGTTCTGAGCACCAATACAGGTTGATTCCTTAGCTATTGCTCGTGATAAAGAAATGCATGAAGCTACACGGAGAATTTTGTCTGTGCTATTGCGACAGGTGAAGCCAGAATTCCACTTCGCTTTATTATTGAAACTGAGCTTTTTAGCATGCATCTTAGACATGGCTGTGTTTCTTGGTGTTGGAAGAAAGGAGTTTATTCCTTTCTGATCATGTGTTTAATCAGCATTTGTGCCAAACACTGGTGCAAAGAATCCATATCTTGTCAATCAACATAGGACCAATGATGCACATAAGCTTGTCTCAGAGTTAACAGTTATCCAGACACTTGAAGCTCTTAATCGAACCTCAAATGATGACCCTGCTTAGTTCTTTAACTCATGAAAAGTGGAAAAATCTATTATAGATATACTTTCTTGCACACTGCTTTTGCGCAATTCCCAAACTACGGTCTGCATAATGTAATGCATTTCATGAATCCTTGCTGCTTTATATGATCTAGATGGTTTTCTGGTTTGATACAACATCTTGTATGAGTAGCATTTTCATATCTTTGGGAAATTTTTGTCGTGAATTACATATGTACATTTAATACTTCTTGCATGTATATAGTTGTCTGTATTCACGTGTTTGAATGCAACTGTAAACAGTAACAAGTTTATATATGTTTTGACTCCGTGATCTTGACTGAAAGTACTTTTTTTTTTTTTCTGCAGATTGATGGATTTGAACAGGATAAAAAAGTGATTGTCATTGCTGCAACAAATAGAAAGCAAGACCTTGATCCTGCTTTAATGAGGTAATATATGTGCACATTCTCCTATACGAGGGCAGTTCTATCTAAAGTGTACTGCTTTGTATGACTCAATTTTATCTTGTTCACAGTCGATTTGATTCATGCATTACCTTCGGCCTACCCGATCATCAGACTCGTCAGGAAATAGCAGCTTCGTATGCAAAGCACTTATCAAAGTCTGATTTAATTGCATTTGCCACTGTTACAGAAGAGTAAGTTGGACATGTTCTGCATATTTAAAATTTTTCACCTCATTGGCTTATTTAAGTTCTCCGTTTCTCATCTTCAATCACCAACCACCGAATGCAGAATGTCTGGAAGGGATATAAGGGATGTGTGTCAACAAGCTGAGCGCTCATGGGCATCAAAGGTAATCGTCGCTATTTTAATTTTCGTGTTCTCATACTCTTCTGGGATTTGCTTATATACTAACGCTTTTGGCCTTGATAGATTATTCGCGGACAAGTGACCAAGGACGGAGACAAAGATCATCTTCCACCTCTGCAAGAATACATCGACAGTGCTTTAAATAGACAGAAGTCTCTACTCAATACCGCACCCGAAACCCACCAAAATTCTTACTCTTCCACAAAGAAACAGCCCTTGGATTTATGTTGATAAATTGATGCATCTTCCACCTTCTGCATTTCAATTTAAAAATTTTAGATTATACATAGTAGTAGTACAGATAGGGTTGGAATCTTGCAGCCAAAATTTTTTACTTTAAATATTTAGTCTGTTAATAATGAATTTATATCATATGAAATTAATTTATTTAATTGAAATTGATTTGTTGGGTTCAAATGCAGAATGTCTGCGGACGAAAGCCAAGCCTCCAAAATTGTAACCAGCTGTTGTCAGATAAGTATCTATTAAGAGTATTATTATCCGATAAACACTTTTGGCTAATTTTCTCCCAAAAATCAGCTCATCACAATTGGTCTTTGCCTATCTAACGATGGGTCTTACTTGATTAAAGTACGAGCTGTTATGTTATCAAAAAATTTATGAGAAATATTTGTCAATCTATTTTTATTTATCTCTTAATAACGATTGCAATCATGCTAACCATTATTATATGGCCATACATAATTGCGTGTAAGTACAATATGATTCGAATTATATACACAAATTTGAACACAAAAGACAAATGACATTTTGATGAATTTGTAGGGGGTTTTATTCATTTTCGAGATTCATTGAATTTTGTACAAATCTAATATTTCAAAATAAGTCGTAATCCAATATTTCAAAATAAGTCACAAAATCGATGTCCATGGAGTTAACCTTCTTTGACTCTAGTTTTCCCCTTTGGCCTTGGGAGTAATGGAAAATGAAATTTCCAACTTTAAAGGATGAAGTTGCATTGGAGCAGACTAAGCAGCAAGGCTCCTTCCCTGCATTGATTAAATAAAAATGTGTGTATATATAAGTAAATATAATCAACTCAGTGAGTCAATCGAAACGAGACTTTTAAGATAAAGAATTTGCCTTTGAGATACTGGTGGTGACTCGTCTTCTTCGACTCGCTTTCTCTTGCTGCTGGGACTCATCCCAGCAACGGAAGACGCGATCTGCAACTGAGTCTGTGCCAGCATCTGAGTCAACTCAGCTTCCGTCTCCACCCGGCGCTTCTCCGCTTCACATCTTAAAGCTTCTCTAGATTTCATCATCTCCAGCTCGTCCAGCTCCTTCCTCAGCAACGATTCGGAGAAGATTCGGAAACTCGTCGATAAATCGGCGGCGAAGCGCATTGATTCAGAAACCGAATCGTTGCTTCCGGAGTTAGAATGCTCTCCGTCATGTGCAGCATCCTCGGCGTACTTCACTCGCTTCTCGACGTTGCTTGTCATCCGGTTCCTTACGGTTCGATCCCCCGGCTCGTCCATCCGCTTCGTGAAAATTATCTGATCATATTTGCAGTAGAAGCATTCGTTCCTTCTAGTGCGCGCGGCTGATATAGTATATTGCCACGTCATCATTTTGTTTATACTTTATATGCTGGATTTTTGTCTGGCCACTTGCGTTACATCACTATCATTTTAATTTAATTTTGTTTTCTTTTTATTTAGATAATAATAAATAAATAAAAAGCTTCTGGATTTCAAATCCATCCAGAATTAAAACTGACCATAAAATTTTCACATTTTTTTTTTTAATTATATCTTAATAAAAAATAATGGTTGCCTTATTATTATTATTATTACGAATATAATACCATTGGGGCTGATAAAACGACAGCACAGAGGACATCCCGGTTACCACTTAAAAGGAATCAGGCATGAGTTTTTATTCAGGACCGCTCAAGAGTCAGACTGAGCCCAAGCATGTATTGAGTTTGAGTGGGTGGTGGCTTAATTAATATAATTAAATAATTAATAACCTCAAAAGCTTCACTTGGGTTATTGGAATGGTAAATCTCCTCGAACAAATTGTAAATAGCACCTTTCTTCTCAATTTGAAGCGTGCAACATTCAGATAAAACGAGAGACCCAACCAGCAAAAAGAAGAGAAAAGAAACAGTAAATATGAATTAATGCAATGTACTGGCCATCCATTCATATAATTATGTTTCCATTGAGATCTACAAATTCAACATCAATAACTTTGGTATATTACAAAAAAAACCGAACAAACTTTCATACAATATTTATGCCTAACTTTTACGTCTATTTATCTGTTGGTTTACACAAGAGAATCAACAAGAAGAAGAAGGAAAAAAAAAAGAAAAAGAAAAAATCAAACCTTGGGTACTATTACTAGAGTAGTTAATGATTAATTAATAATAGTAAACTTTAATAAACCTTCTTGGTGAAGAGGCTGCGGAAATTGAACAGACTGCCGTTATTTGTAACATGGCCATGGCCACCGTCGGAGCCGCCGCTAGCAGTTCCAGCGCCGCCTGAGGAGGTGGGGGTGGCGGCGGCGGCGGTGTTAGTTGACTTGTTATTAGCTACGCCCGCAACGCGGAGTGCACTGTTTTCGTCGCTTCTACAACTCAAATGGTGCCGGTACCCAATACACAGTGGCACATTCACATTCAAATTCAAAACCCTAACTTTACCATTATTATTATTATTATTGCTGTTACTGCTACTGCCGCTGCCACTGCTGACATTTCCGATTGGCTTATTGCTTTTAACTTCTTTTTTACTGACCACTTTTTCACTGTTTTTAGAAAGAGTTTCAGCGCTCTTCCCACCTGAGCCTCCACCACGCTTGACTTGCCAAATGGGGCTACTCCGACCCAGATGGACCCCGGGCCGACCCGGGCTGCTTGGCCACTTCCTTGACTTTGACTCACCCGCTGAATTACTCCTTGAACACGGTGCACTACTTACCTTCCGGTTCCCTGGAGCTCCGGGAAACAATCTGGGTCGGGTTCTACCATTCCCGGCGGATCTACTCCTTGAAAAAGGCCATATATTGATATTCAACTCCGCTGAAGTCACCCCACTTTGACTCTTCTTCTCTCTCTTCTTCTCTTTCTCTTTATCTTTATTATCTTCCGTGTTCTTCGCCACTGCTTTCTTGTCACCTTTCTTGAAAATGTCCGTCCAACGCTTCGAACTCGACAACCCATTAGCAGACTCAGTCGTTACATGAATCAACTCCGGGCCAGGGCCAGGGCCAGGTCCAGTCTCCGGGTCACCTGGCTCTTTGTTGGGAGGTTCAGGATCCGGAAGGGGGTTCGAGTCAGGTGGGTCGGAAGGTTTGAGTGAGAGGAGATGAAGAGGAAGAAGAACACCATCAACAAACAGTTCATCAGCTGAGAGCAGATTAGGCTGAGGAAAAGACGGGTTTCGGACCATCCAGAACTCGAACTCGGGGGAGTTTGAATCGCTGCTCCGCCTGCTTCTTGTAGTGGTGCATGGAGAGAGAGTTTCGGGTTCATGGATTCTCGGAGTATCCATTATTCAGAGAGGGAGGGATGAGTTTTTGAGTTCTTGTAAGAAGAGAAAGAGAAGAGTTAAAGATGAGCGTTTCAGAGCTTTGTGACCCTACAAGTAATAAAGAAAATAAGAAAGAGTAACTCAAGGGAGAGATTATATAAAGCACAGCATGGGAACTTGTACTTAGTGTATTAATCTTAATCAACATTTCAACTTAATATTCTTGTTTAAAGAGGGAAAAAGATGTAACCGTCCCAAACTGCCCTCTTTAATGTCGAGTTCGAGTTCAAATTCGATTTTTCAAACTCCCCTCAGTACTATAGTAATTGAGTTGAGCTTGATTAACTCGGTTCAGTTAGGCTCGATTACACCCATAGTTAATTGATTGTATTGTAATTGGATGAACAAAAAAATTATTCTACGGTGAGAGTTGGGCTAGAAAAAATGAGGAGAGAAATGGAAATTGATATTGGAATATTGTGTTATTCTTAGCCATCCGATCCTTGAACTTTGGAACTTGTTGGGTAAGATTCTTGATGATTACACATAAAGAAAGGAAAATTCTGATAATTTGATTTACATACAAAAGTGGGAGTGGGTTGACTCTATGCAATATGCCAGCCCTAAAGTTTGTATAGAGTGATGTCGTTTCGTGGTTTGCATGTGGGGTTGCATGGTTCCTCTTAATCAAGATTTACTTACACACTTTCATGTGGGCGTTGACATCCTCAATTTCTAATCAAATATTTCTTGACTGAATTTAAAAAAAGTTTGACAAACTTTTTAATTTTAGAAATAGATTATAATTAGTTAAAGATTATTTATTTAAAAAGTAGATTCCCTAAACAAGATTTTCAAACCCATCCATTGGTAGCCTATCTGATTAGGGCGGCGCACATAGTTTCAGGTTTGATTTCTCACTTGAACATTTGTGATTTAAGTGGGGTATTGTAGCGGTGTGTTGCTGCATTAGTTTCCATCGATGATTAGTTGAGATACNGTCTAAATTATGAAGCAGATTTTTTCCAAGACCTTAGAAAACTATGTGAACCGTTATATCAAAAACTTAGGAAAAATCCTCCTACATGGTTTGAGTCTCATGCCTAGATAGTTAGAGAAATTAAATTCCTTCCTTGCCTTAGTATAATAAATTCCTCAGCCTACCCTATTATAGAGACCGATGCCTCTGACATAGGTTATGGTGGAATATTAAAACAAAAATTAGATAATAAAGAGAGTCTAGTTAGATTCCATTCTGGAGTATGGCTTGGTGCCCAATAGAATTATTCAACCATAAAAAAAGAAGTTTTATCCATTTTTTTATGCATTACAAAATTTCAAGATGATTTAATTAATAAAAGATTTTTTATCTGAACAGATTCTTTTGCATCAAAATTTACTTTTGAAAAAGACGTCCAAAATTTAGTTTCAAAACAAATTTTCACCAGATGGCAAGCAATACTTTCTTGTTCTGATTTAGAAATCGAACATATTGAAGAACATAATAATTCATGACCTGATTTTCTTTCTCGTGAATTCTTACAGGGAAAGAAAAAAGTTGAGTGAAGAAATAAAGAGAAAGAGAGAAAAGAAATTTGAGTGATTGAGTGAAAGATAGGCACTCCTATTAAACATAATAATTCTCATGAAGCAAAAGTATTAACCAATTTTCAAAAATCAAAAAATCTTTTTACTATTTTTGAAAATCGTCATCTTTCTCAAAAGAGAAATAATCACAGAAAATTTCTAAAAAATATTATTTCAAATGAAATTTGGCGAAGAATTTGTAAATGTGAAGACTAAAATGGTGCCTCATTACTTTAAGTGAGACGCTATCGTTTTAAGGTTGAGTGACTCAATCCTGGCCATCCATCTTACTTTGATCCAGCGACTGCTATCTCTCCATGACCTGGTCAACGGTATATAAGTAAACAGAATTCTCTCTCTGTAGATCGATCGAGTTTTTTTTTTTTTTTTTTTTAATGTTAAAAGTTTTTGTTGACGTTTTGTAATATTACGTTGTTTGATAGAAACCCAAAATTTGGATTTTTTGAAAAATCTTTTATATATTTTATTGAAGTTTTTTAAAATATAAAAAATACTCAATATTATTTAAAGTTTTTGTTTTATCCTTCTTTTATATTAAAATATATATTTTTTAATAATTTTAGAATTTTAGAAGGGTCAAGTGACCCCACTGGGTATACTTTGGCTATACCCACCATCACAGCCTCTAACTTAAATCGCGAATGCTCAGATAGGAAATCGAACCTGAGATCATACACATATTCACACTATCACTGATTCGTCATAATCATTTGAGCTATTTACGGATGGGTTTTAAGATTCGTTCACCTGTTAAAATGATGCGTGAATAGGGTTGGGAATGTCGTGAGACTAATTGGTCCATATCTGATGTGAGCATTAAAGCATAATTAACAAGAAAAGGCAAAAAGGGTATTAAATAAAATAAGAAAATTGATGTAAAATGAAGGAGATTTGGGTTAAGCAGAAGACAAATGAAGTGGGGGCAAGAGAAGGGTCGATTGATAGGTAAGTGGTTGGTTGTAATATAGCATAAGGGAATTGAAGTAGAAATAAAAAAAGTAGTGGGGATTAAATGGGAATTTTATAAACTGGTTTAAGAGGATTTTTCCCTTTTGTTAATGGAGTTTGTTTGTAGGCAAAATGATGAGGCATGTGAAGGCAAAACCCACACCATTATTTTCATTAAAGTTATGGCCCCCCCTCCTTCTTGACCCCACCTTCTTCATACCAGTTACCAACTGCTTCCTCTTCCTCTAGTGATCTACTACAACTGAGGACCACCATAACAGCAATTTATCGAATCATTTCCCCCATCCCATGTGATTGTCATCATGATCTATTTTGTAAATTTTGTTGTATTTGAGAGGGATCAGAATTTGGATCTTCTTTCTCCCCATTTTGTTCGCTTAATTTTGAATTGCATGAAATGGGGGCTCCACTGTATACTTTCATGGATATTAAAACTACAAAAAACTTAAGATTATGAATATGTATTAATATAACTAATTAAAGCTTATGAATTTACTATTTATATTGTCAAAAGTTGTATTTATCTCACATCGCCAATTTGATAGATTATTATGATATATATATATATATAGTTGAATTCTCTCTTCTCTCGAACAGGCATTTAAAAGTGAGTTCTACCTAAACCCATTTATTATGTTACTATAACCACATTTGTTCACCGACCAGGAAAATGGTTTTAGGACATTCACATTAAAACGTTGAGGGTGGGTAATGTTAATAATGGGAGATAGTGATTGACCAACTTCTAAAAGTTGGGTTTACAAAAATTGACATGGGTTAGATCAATGAAATGGTCATGACGTTTAAATTAGTTTTTGAGAATGAGTTATACCGAAACCGTCTAAAAGGTTTTAAGACATTCTCATAAAAATATTGAGGGTGGGTAATGTTAATAATGGGAGAAAGTGATTGACCAACTTCTTTAAAAGTTGGGTTAACAAAAAGAATTGACATGGGTTAAGATCAATAAATGGTCACGGCGTATATCTATATATAAACTTATACAGGTAGGGCTATATTATTGCAGTGGTGTAATAAATGTGTGGCGAAATATATGGTTGAGGACCTCTGGAAAAGGTATTAGGGTTTGGAAAATGGAAGCAACTCTTAGCTAAAGAATAAAAGAATTAAAAAAGATAGATTTGTTAATGTCAAATTAGGTTTGAAAAGCAGTCTGCACTGCCTGCCTCTGCTTATGCTTCGTACAAAGTAGCTTTTATGACAAAACTGTGACTCAAAACATGGTAAATTAGTCATCGCCCCACCCATATGCAATAAAATCTTGATATAATATATATTATGGTATCCGGACTAGTTTATGAATACCTTGGGGTGCGTTTGATTTAGTATTTTAGATAGGATTTTAGGGATAGTATTGGATTATTAGATATGAGAGTATTACGAGGTAAATTTTAAAAATTTGTAAAAAAGTCTTTAGGTTTATTAATTTAACTAAAGACCCTAACATATAAAATGACAAAAACACCTCCACCACCTGCAGTGTCAGATTCCGGCCACCACCACCGGAATCTGGCTAGAAAATTTCGTTACGGCACAGACTTGTCGGATCTGTGCCGTAACACGTCGTTATGGCCTTTTCCGACCAGATCCATGATGGATCTGGCTGTCTACGGTCTGTTATGGCCGTCGACGGCCGGAAAAGGCCAAACGAGGGCCATCTTTGGCCGTCAGCGACGGCCAAAGATGTGGCCGTCGTTTTCGGTCAACGACGGCCATTTCTTTGGCCGTCGCTGACGGCTAGATCTGGCCTTTTCCGGCCAGATCCGTGGTGGATCTGGCTGGAAAAGGCCACAGCGGTGAACTTCCGGCCATTTCTGGTCGGAAGTTAGGCCGTTGTATGGATTCCGGCTATCACCGATGGTGGTTGCTGGAATCTGACAAGTTGGGTTGATGGGGGTGTTTTTGTTAATTTTTAAACTTTTTTTTAGGGGGTATTTAGTGAAATTAATAACCTTATGGGGTTAAAATGTAATTAAAAAAAATAGGGTAATATTTTTAGAATATTGTACCAAACACTATTTGGAGAATAGGATCCAGAATAGGGATAAAAATATTAAACTAAACATGCACTTGATTATTTTTCAGATAAATTATCCTATAATAACCTATCATCATGGTCTCTCAGATAAATCATGGACAAAAATACTACTTTTATCAGTTTATGTCCAACCTATAGCCCCTTTGGTTCGCCCTAAACCCATATTTTGTATCAAGTTTAGATCAAATTTCACCTCTCTAATGATGGGTGTTATTTCTCCTTTTGGTCACATAAGAGAAGTTGGTTGAAATTAGCGATCTTAATTATGATGTAAAAAATCCCATATAACCTTTCTACCGAACTGACTTTTAACCTTTAAGGTAATGACTAATTATGGATTTAATTACTTTTTTTAGATTCCCAGTTAACATTAATTTACTTCATGATCATATCATATGCAAAATCTCTTATTATAATGATCACCAACAAATCAGCAAATTTCTCTAAAATAATATCTACTTTTATATAGTTCTAAATCTTAATTAATACAATGGATGA